TATCGAAAGTAAGCTGCAAAAACAGCACAATTTAAATTCATTGTTTTTGTGATGTCACAAAAACCAATGCATTTACCTACATCAGTCTATTCAGCCTACAGCAGTTTAGCCCCACTCACTCACACAGAAGTTAGGAGGAGAGTTTCAGTCTGGACTGTTTTCTGAATGAGGGAAATACAGGACAGCCAATCAGAGCAGAACTCACTTATCTTTCCAGTTCTAAAGACACAGTAACAAAACAGCCTTTTTCAGACAGAGATTATGGAATAAAGACATGTTGGAAAACTGTCATGTAAAAATGATGTATGACTCTTTTTGGTATATAAACCACACAAATTGCATAAGTGAAGCTCAGGGGGAAAACACAAAATCTTGTGATAAACATCATGCATTGTGAAAAGCCTTCAAGTATCACATTTTTTGCCCATCCCTATCCTGAATACTACTTAGAACTGAATGTTCCATCTTGTGCTGCCCACCTCTCTGGTTCACAATGCCCACAAACTCTCCATTTATCAGCAAGGTCCTCTGATTCACTTCGCATTGAAAGCAGTGCATCTAAAGTGTCTGCTGAAAGAAGCTTAGACACTCAGTCCGAGTACAGCTGCAAGGTCATAGGCCTGTGTGCCTGAGAGTCTTTAAGGCAAACCTCCATGACCAGGAGGTTTTCTCATTCATGATCTAATCAGGAGGCCTTGTAGACTCTGACCTCAGACTGATCACAAGTTCTGTGACCATCTGTTCAGCTGCAGTCTGTTGTGTGTAAGTAATTCACGTAGAAAGAATCAGTTAATTACTGACTATTGTTGGTAATCAACTAATTTACTGATGACTTTGATGATTTTTAGGCCAAACAATGAAAAAGGACAAAACCAGCAGATGAGATTTTTAATGCACTGTAACTTTCACATTAACCTTCACATGATGTGGTTTTGTTATTAAACAAAGACTCTGAACTTGGAACAATTACTCAAACACGCAGACACTGGGTAACAGCCCATTCTGCTAAAAAATCACAATTATTATTATTGTTTATTTTGTTAAGTTCACATTTTGCTGACCCCTCTGGCGCGTAAGGAAACTGAACTATGTAACTGTATACCCATGGTTTTAAATAATATCAATATTTATTGATAATTTTGTCCCAGTTTATCCATTCCATTTTACAATACTGCACATTGTCCAAGTCCTAATAAAATAGGCATTATTTTATTTGGGCTTGGACAATGTGCAGTGCTGTAAAATGGAAAAACTGCATATTGTCCAGGCCCTAATAAAATAATACTTATTTTTTAGGGCTTGGACAATGTGCAGCCTCGAAGCCCTAATAAAATAAGCATTATTTTAAATTCTCTTTTCTTGGAAGCTAAAATCAGCAAACTAATCTTTGCTGATTTAATGTGAAGGTACATTTTAATTAAGAATTTTTTAATCAAGTTCATAGGTTTATTCGAGTAATCATGACAGCCCTAATGTAGATGTGCAAACCAAAAGAAAACACGAAGTAAGTAGTACAAAGGTCATCGCACAAACCACAGCGCTGGCAGCCTGTTGTAGTACAGAAAAGGTCTGTGTCATTCTCATTTTCATTTTCATACACTTTTCATCTCAGTACAGCACTTCACACATTTATATAAACTGTGCATCCAAAGTTTATCACCATATTCCAGATGAAATCAAACCCAAAAATACAGTAGGCTTAAAAGTAAAATTAATGTGTCTGTGATGAAGGTTTATAAACAGAAGGAAGTGACTGATAGCATCACGCTTTCTGTGTACATGTTACTATTTCCTCCAGCAGCAGCACAAGTTGTGAATAAAGTTATTCATGGGATTCAGACTAAACTTCCTGGAGTGCTCAGACAAGGAGTGACAGAGATTAAACCTGACTCGACACCGCCAGAGAAAACACCAGTAGGCTAAAGAACAAAACACATAAGTTGTGAAATACAGTATGATTTTTCCAAGTTTCTGCACAATTTAGTCACTGAAATGAAGTCAGAGTGTTTTGATTTGAAATGGTTCACTATGGAAAAATGGATTTGGATTTCTTTACAGGCCTTTATATAGTGGTGGTGATGGGAACCAGGGGTCACACTGTCTACAGCACAAATATAGCCATTTTATGTGACCAGAGAGTTTTCTTCTTAGTTTTTATATATAATGTTGATAATAAAATAGTGGTAGATCTGTGGTAAACAAACAGTGTTAGGTCATCCTGCACGTACCCCTCCACCTTGAATGCATTTAAACAGTATGTTTCAGGCCAAAGATTATCTCAAAACAATCATAAAACAATGTCACAGCCACCAGGGAACATATTCATTACCATTTCCTGTGATTTCTGTGAGGTAGCTATTTAGGGCATTAAGCACTTCAAACATCTGGTTCCTATCAGCACCACCTTGAGCTATTCTGACTCAGTAAGTTTCTTCAGAATGGAGCATTTTACATCAATCCACTCTGAATGACTTTTTTTGTTGACCGCAGATGCAGGTGGGTAGCAACCTAAAGTCTTGTTAACAAATAATAATAAGTTACACTTTACTGGTCTGCTTACATGGGAAGTTATGCTGTACAACCGCTTAGTTACCAGCAGGGCAGTGGAGAGTTGAGTGTCTTGCCCAATGGCACAATCAGGAATGCCCACTTAGGCCTGGGATTTGAACTGATGACTTTCTAACTGCCAGCTCCCTTCTCTTATCGCTAGGCAACCAGCTACCCCCAAGCAGCTTGCTTCCTGAAAATCACTGGGAGTTAATGAAGTATCAGGTCCAAAAACTTCACGTTTCCTGTAGAACTGCAGTAGAGCTTCTTAGTTCATCCAGCACCTCTCAGCATAGGAACTGAAGCTTGTTATACTCTGTCCTTCTCTTTTTGGGATCCTTTGGGTTAAAACAAAATGCTAAAGCTCCAATGTGAGAGATGTGAACAACTGTAAAGCAGAACAGGAGCTGAATCAACACAACAGAATAAAATAAGCCCCATCTGAAGGGCTAAAACTTAACTAAGGGAAAATACTTTCACTTCCTCAGAAATATACAGTACTTAAGCAGTAAAAGTGTCAACACCTAAAAATACTCAAAAGTACGTCATGATTTCATCTAAGCATGTAGAACTGAGTAATAATGAAACCATGAAATAACGTAAATTACTATGGCCCACCTGTGAGCACTAGAGCTGGGAGAGGACTATTATGTGTATCAGTGTCTCTCGTAGGTCTAAGATTGCTGATGGCCTGCTGTTCAGGGCTTTCATTACTTAAAGTGAGCCAGCTAGTCTAGTCATGTGTCATGTGTGGCTCTTTAACTGATTCATCCTTATCGTGATGACTTGGCAAATTAAAAAAAGTCATAAATATTAGTACTAAAACAACAGTAATATGTTAATAATGTGAATAAATGAATAATAATACTGTTTACTACTATTATCTGAAGTAGTATAATAAAAAAGCTTTCATTTAAAAATAGTGCTATATATTACATAAAAATCTAGGTAACACTTTATTTGGATACTCCACTTAAGATGCTTTGCAGATACTTAATTTACTTTCAAGTTAAATTCAGCTAAATATCTACTAAATTGACCACAATTTCTTTTAAACTCTTTTAAATTCTTTAAACCTGGCTTTAATCCTAACCCTAACCTAAAACTCAACCCAAAACCTAAACCTAAGCCCTCACCCTGGTCCAAATCCTAACCATAACCCCACCACTGTTTAGAATCAACAGTTTCAACAGATAGTTTGTTAAGAAGTTGAACATCTGTAGATAATCTATAGGGGACTATAGTGGACTATCCGAAATAAGTGAGACCCTTTAGTAACATACAGCGTACTATGTATACCTATAGTAATTATTCCAATCACTTTAAAGGGCCTATATCATATATTTACATTCTAAGATGGTTCTTCAAGGTTCTTTAGTGAAGGCAATGGTTCTATTTAGAACCATGAGTTCTATATAGAACAATTTCATGCTTAAATGGTTCTTTCTATGATGAAATGGTCAGATTGATTGAGAATGTGTTGTGTACGGTTCTATATAGAACCTTTTTGAAAATGGTTCTATATAGCACCAAAAAGAGTCTTTTTACTGTTACAAGCTTGACATTATAACAATAGCGGAGCCCTTTTTTGGTGACATATAGAACCATTTCCAAAAGGTTCTATATAAAATTAACATACAACACACTCTCAATCTGAAGAACCATTACACCATGCAAAGAACCATTTAAACAGAACCGTTCCCTTTAGTAAAGAACGCTTGCAGAACCATCTTTTTTAAGTGTCTAGTTACGTTCTTTTGTATTTATTCTAATGTTTTATGGTATTTGTTTTCACACTGTCTGCTGAAATACATAGATTTAAACAACTCTCCTGCCTATAAGTCTTTTGCATAGTACTGTATGAAAGTGTGCTGGCTTTTGTGACATCACAAAAACACTGAATTGAAAATGTGCTGTTTTGGCAGCCTGGTTTCCATATATGGACTGTATGATGGGGGGAGTAGTGTTTTCATAGCACGTCGATGATACACAGTGATGTTCCTTGATATGGATCCTTTAAGTTTCCTAAAGGAATCTCACATAAATTCCTGCAGTGCTTTTTCATAAGGGACAAACTGAATGAACATACAGAACCTTAGAACAGACAGAAACTTATCAACAGATGCAGGAGTAGGTCAGTGCGGGTCTCTGAGCTGCTCCCACTGTCCTCCTCATAAACCTTCAAGCCGCTGACAGCGAGAGAAACGGCTAGAACAAGCAGGCGTTCCGTCACTCATGTGCTAATAGCACCTAGCACTGCACCTCAATTCGACTGGAACTCTATGGAGAAACAGTGAATTCAGTAATCGGCGGTCAGCGCGGCGCAGTCTCCTCTCACTGACTCCACTATGAGGGTGCAGGGCTAGTGATGGACTCCGAGGTTATTATCATGGCGACTTGTTGACAAACTAAACCGCCTGTTGCTGTAGAGAAATCAGAGGAGGATGACTTACCCAGCTCGGGAATCGGAGCAAAGTTTCATTAATTAACACTGACACTGCCTCGGATGGGTCCTTCGAGTGCACCTGCTGGAACTGTCAAAAAATACGACTAAAAAAATATCTAAATCGTCCAAAGCTGGTGTCTCTCGCGCCGCTGTGTCTCTCTGAGCTCCGCCGCGGCTGGCCCGTTTTCTCCGTGGAAAGGCCGTGTGATGTGCCAGCCGCCTGGACTCGGTTTGAGGTGGACGTAGATGTCAGTCCAGCCTCTGAGCTTCACTCGTGTTAATGTAACGCAGCAGCTCCGAAAGCCACAGCAGGAAATATCGTCAACGGCAGCCGCTGTTTTCTTAAAGGGGCCGCCAGAGAGCACTGGCTGTGTTCCAATTCGAGTACATGCGTCCTACATACCGGCACAGTAGTTAGTGCACTGCAGCAAGGACACTACTGCAAACCTACAGTCTGCCAGTGCTCAGGAGGGTTAACTCGATAAACGGCACGCTTATTATTCAGTTGTTAATCTTAATACAACTGACATCAACAACAACAACACAATAATAATAATAATAATAATAATAAAAAAATCTAAATGTAATTTATTTATATTGCATGTTTTATTTTAGTTACAAAGTCTCTTGTACACTAGCAGGATTGAGATGACACATTTTGTGAAGGCAGTATTCAGGATACAGTTACTTTTAACATTTTTAGGACAATACTTTTAGAATATTTAATAAATGTAACAGAAAGTATACCAGCTTTAAGAGAAACACTATCAGTGGTTGATTATTCATTTTTTCATTTTAAAATCAGTGCACAGTGTGTAAAAACACACTCAACTGAAGAACAACTTCTTTACAAATACTGATGTTCCTAAAGCCTGAGTAGACTGATAAATCAATATGATGAGCCAGTGCAAGATTTTGTTATTGGGATATGGTAATTTTTTTGCTTAGTTAATGAGATAGTAGTGGGTTTGTGGAAGAAGCAGTGGGATTGTGGGAGAAGCAGTGGGACTGTGGGAGCAGCAGTGGGATTGTGGGAGCAGTAGTGGGATTGTGGGAGAAGCAGAGGGATTATGGGAGAAGCAGCGGGATTGTGGGAGCAGCAGTGGGATTGTGGGAGAAGCAATGGGATTGTGGGAGAAGTAGTAGGATTGTGGGAGCAGCAGTGGGATTGTGGGAGAAGCAGTGAGATTGTGGGAGAAGCAGTGGGTTTGTGGGAGAAGCAGTGGGTTTGTGGGAGAAGCAGTGGGATTGTGGGAGAAGCAGTGGGTTTGTGGGAGAAGCAGTGGGATTGTGGGAGCAGCAGTGGGATTGTGGGAGAAGCAGTGGGTTTGTAGGAGAAGCAGTGGGATTGTGGGAGCAGCAGTGCTGTTCCAACATTCAGGAGCTGCATATGAATATGATCCTCCACCAACTGAGCTGTAAGAGATCCTAGGAGTTTGCAGTAAACCAGCATCAGCTGAGCAAGGTTGGACAGGAATATACCATGAACATTCTTCATGCCCGCCATGGCAGTATGTTGCACCTATGATGATTATGTTTAGGTTTTTGAGTTTGCTATGTTGCTTTTCCTCTTCTTTGCACATCTCAAGTGTCAGACTTTATCTGTTGTCATCTTCGTTGGGTCTGTGTGTTTGGAAATTGTGTCTAAGTTAGGCTACTCACTTTTTCACAGGGCTGCCCAAAAGTTTACTTCTTCCTACGCCGCTAAATCAGACAATAGATTACAGCTTGGCATGACCTCCTTGTTTTGGTGATGTTGAGAGTTTTACAGAATAAACTGCACCGCACACCACTGGAGAAGAGACATGCGGCAGTTTGAACAGACCAAAGCTCACACACATCAGCTCAAATTGGAGTTCATCTTGGGACCGACTGCGGCTTTTAGTGATTTGCTTCTGGGTTTAAGCTTGGTGAGGCTGAAACTGGCATCATATTTGCCAGCTTCTTATTCAAATTTTCTGTTCCGCAGGCATCACAATGCAACTGCAGCACCATTTAAGGACAAAATTCTAAATAGAACCTGGAGGATAAGAAGCAGAATTCAAAGTTAAGTGCAATAATGGAAAGATGACGCATGGCAGTACTGGAAGTTGCTGCCAGTGCACCCTCATTTAAAACAAACATTTTGAGTTTTGGGACACTGTGTAACTGCACCCATAGGGCCCACAACCACCTGTAGCCCCAAGGCCCACAAACAGGTTAAAGTGCCCCTGTCTTTAGAGGTCTGTGTAATGGTTTAAAAGGAAAAGTCTGTTGCACGCTAGACGTGTGCTGTCCTCCAAGTATGCAAATCCAAATGTGGCGTACTTATCACATGTCTGTAAAGCTGGTATGCATTTGAAAAGTGTTCTATAAATAAAGCATCTTGTCACCTGATGCATGACAGAACACTTTAGCAATGATAGCCAAAGTGATCATAGTCACATCTTATAATTTGACAACACTGCGATAACATTAATGGACTGATTTACAGTTCCAAACATTAGGTTTCAGTTGATACTCAGAGGGAAGAATTTCTACTAATAGACACAGACAAATCAAGTGAGGGCCCCAGATAAGGCTCCAACACATGGCCCCAACAACAGGAGGCAAACACTCCAACAACTTCACCACCTGCATACTGACAACTCTCCTGCTGGAATGACATGTCCAGGGGGTGATGTGGAATCCAAATCCAGCTCTGCCCCTTGTCCCATCCCATAATTGTTGATCCTTCTCATGCCCGATTCGTCATCTAGTCTTCCTCTGCCTGCACTGCCGTTGAGCCTTGCTATGCTATCTTCCCTGTAGAGCCTTGCAGCACTGTCCCACTCTCATTGTCATTCACTGGGCTTTGCCTCTCTCACAGTTCACCTTGAAGTTCTTTTAAGCTCTGTTCCACTCCAGACCACTGGGGAGGGTCTGTCCCACTTCTGACACCACTGTGGTGTCGGCATACAGTAAGACATGTTAGAGGCTATGATTCTCCTATGAGAAGTGCTCTTTTATTGAAACACTAGGCAGAAAGGCACATAACAACACAGCACGAATAGCAAGGAGGTCATCACCAGCCAACCAAGCTACCGAAGCCCACTGCTGGACACACAATAACACAGGTTACACGTACACATAACTTAAACTAACAATGATAATAAACAACATTTAAGTCCCTTTTTACAGGGAGTATGCGCTATTATATGCTGATCACCAGCTTATGTTGTGTTTTGGATGCTGGTATGCTGATCAGCAGCCATGGAAGTGAATATGCTGCTCACCAGCAAAACCAACATATGTTCTGTTTTGGATGCTGGTCAACTAGCATTACCATGCTGGATGACCAGCTAAACCAGCACCAGACCAGCATAAAACAGTTTAGACTAGCATGGAATGCTAAAATGACTTTGTTTATATCCAACCTTAGAAAAATCAACAGAATTCTGAGTTTTGTTTTCACACTTTTGATTTCTTGACTTTGAGTCTAGAACAACAGGAGAATGCTAGTAAGGCCTGTTTGTAATACTTCATTAGCATGGCGTTGCAGTTTGTCATTTGGTTGGATTTTAAAGGTAAGCCAGGATTATGCAAGACAATCCCCAATAATGAGTTGGTGTTTAATTTTGAATCAATATTTTACACTGATGGAAAGAGCTCGGAAAAATGGCACTCATGTAGAAACAATGTTAGCATAGATCAAAGAGAAGTGGCTTGAATTAATCTCGTACGGATCATTTATGATTTTTTTTACATTCTTCCCAACTGTTCCACACGTACAAGACTTTAAAGTTTAATTCAAGTGATGTGATTTGCTGCCATCTAATAAAAATCTAAATTATTCAGTTTGATAATATTATCTTCAAACTACACATTTTAAATAAGATGCTCTAAACTGCTCATGGCAATCTCACTGATACTGCTAGAAAGTCCAAAATCCTACATGAACATTTCCAGAGTACTGCACATGCTTGTTCAAAATCCTTACGATCCACAGTCAATTAAAGGAAAGCTTGAGGACAGGGACAGAGAGTCTGTCTTTAATGATGTAAACACTGCCATTTTGTTGAGCTGTTTACATGATATAAATCTTCTGTTTTCTTCTTGTCAGTGTGCTCTGGCAGCTCAGAGTCAGGCCCACCATCTGCGGTGAGATTAGGCCTGAGGAGAAAGCCATTGGCAGATCAGAGCTAAAACGTGCTTGAGGAGATGACAGCAAAGCTAATATCCTCTGCTAAGTGTGTAGGGAGTGTGAAGTCTACAGGGAAAGAAATGTATGAAGTCAAGCAATGTTAGATAGGCCAGAGTACAAAGACTCATGTTCTTTTTAAAGGCCTATTGCCAATTTTTTTTCTGCTCCAATTCTAATGTTTGCTGGTCTCAAAATCATAATTCGTCCGTAGTAACAACATGCTGCATCACTTTAGTGTGAATGACTGGGGCAAAACTCCTGTGAGCTGAATGATAAACAAAGAAGGACAGTAGGGAATAGGAAAGCTTTGTAAGTGGTGTGGAGCTTATTATAAAGGAATAATTATAATAATAATATAGAGGAGAGGGACTTTTAAAATGCTGCTGTATAAAAAACAGAAAAATGAACAACCATGTAATTCTAGGCCTTTATGGGCTCATGATAATTTTAAGCATAAAAAATGTGTGAGGGGAAACAAGTATTTAGACATTTTTGTTTTTTGAATATACTTCCAGTGCATATGTTCACTTTAGATTTGCACACACTATATATATATATATATATATATATATATATATATATATATATATGTATATGTATGTATGTGTGTGTGTGTGTGTGTGTGTGTGTGTGTGTGTACATATATGTATATGCTATATGAACAAAATTATTGGGACACACTTCTTAATCATTGAATTCAGGTGTTTCATTCAGTCCCAATGTCACAGTTGGATAACATCAAGCACCTTTCCAGGTAGTCTGCCTTCACAAACATTTGTAAAAGAATGGGTTGTTTTGAGGAGCTCAGTGAATTCGAGTGTGGGACTGCAATAGTCAGTTCACAAAATTTCTTCCCTCCTAGATATTCCACGATCAACTGTGAGTGGGATTATTGAAAAGTGGAAGCATTTAGGAACCACAGCAACTGAGCAATGAAGTGTCAGACCGTGTAAAGTTACAGAGCGGGTTGCTGAGTGCTGAGGCACATTAGTGCATAATAGTCAACTCTCTCATGACTCAATAACTGCAGAGTTCCAAACCTCCTCTCGCTTTAACATCAGCACAAAAACTGTGTGCCAGGAGCTTCATGGCATGGGTTTCATCTTCCTTTTTAGAAATGAGTCTTGAGT